AGAGAGAGAGAGAGAAATGATAGAAACATCAGATTGTGACAAGCAAGTGCAGGGGGCAAGCAGAGGATTAAGATGAAGTGAGAAGGAATGTCTAGAGAACAGGTGAAATTGGGTCAGAAAAGGCCTGTTTGAAGAATTTTGTGTTGTTTTTTTCTTGTCACTTCCTCAAACTCTCTAAATATTGTCTTTATAATACAAAAGTATATTTCAGAAGTTATTTAAAGTGATCACTAGTTACTAAATTACTTTATCTTAAGTATTTGGATTTCGTGGAAGGAATTTAGAATAGTGGTCCTCAAAGTGATGCACCTTAGAATAACTTGAGAGTGTTTTAAAAACCCTCATGCCCCAGCTGAGCCCAGAAGAATGGGTAGAATCTCGCGTTATCAGGAGTCTCAACTCCCCAGGGGATTCCACTGTGCAGCTATAGCTGAAAACCAGCAGTTTAAAAAATGTCATTCATCCTAGCTTCTGTCAATGCTAAAATGCCTGCATAAAACTCAATTCAGCTGAAATCTACTCCTTCTGTTCCCCCAGTCAATGATACCCCTTTTCAAATCTACCTATCTCAGAGATTTCGTCATTATAAAATTTTCTGGAGGAGTTAGGAAAGAGAATATGTTTAAAAGAATCTGTGGCTGTTCCACATTGGCAAACAAAAGGTCTGTAAATAATACCTCCTGGATGCAGCTCAACTTGTTATTTTGACAAGCCTCTAATTCAAGTTTACGCAAAAGGAAAAGAAATTATGTATGTAAAACCTGCATATAAGTTTTTTTTTAATAACGTTTTCTACCATTTCATGACTTGGATTGTTCCTGTCATAAACTTACATTCACTGCAGCTGTTTCCTGCAAAAAGCAAAAGCACAACTTTTACAAGTTTCATTTCCTATAAAGATAAAAGCACAGAGAGTAGTGCATAGATCTTTGGGCAGCTCTTTTACTGCGGAAGCTGATGGGAAAATGGTGTCAGAGTTATTATCAACACTTGAGAGCTTTCTGTTGCTTTAGGACCAGCTCCTTCTCTCTTCCTTGATCTCATCTGGTCCATGGAATAATGATGCTCTTGCCATTGATGCTGCAGCCCACAAATTTGTTTCTACTGTATTGGCTGTAGTGGTTGTTCCTATCACAGCTGAGGAAACATTGTTTGAAGATCGAGAACATTGTAAAAGTCACACGTCATGATCAGTAAGTTGTTTGAACGTTAATAAGTTGAAAGCAATACAGTGAACCCTAGCTTTTAATTGAACGCAAGTGTCCAAACTTGGCAACATCCTCTTGGCTACTCACTAGTGACAGCAAATTAATGCATCTGAATGATGTAAACCCTACAAAAACAGGGATTTTTGTCTATGTCGTGCGCTGCTTATATCCTTGTGACCTAGAACAGCACTGAGCACATGGTAGTGCTCGATATATATTTGAATTTCCTAAATGAACGTAGCCTTGTTCCTGTCTGTGCCTGCAGGTTTTAGACCACCAACCAAGCTGTGTAATTCCTTGCCTTGCTTCTCACTCAACCCACCGAATCATCTCTCTCCTTCCTTTTATAGCTAAACTTCCCCAAAGCAGTCTGCTCTCATGGCCCTAAGTTTCCATGTCACATTCATTTTTCATTGAACTGCAGCCTATCTTCTCCCAGTCCTTTTCTGAAATTGTTTCCCCCTAATGTTGCCAGTGACTCCTAATTGCTGAATCCAATGACCTCTCCTTAATCCTCATTCTTTAGGATTTCTCTGCAACTCTGCGCTGCTGCCTCCTTGCCCTTTGAGACACTTGTCCTTCCTTAGCTTCCAAGGCTACTCTCTTAAGCCCTTTCTTACTTTCTTAGATGTCCTCAATTTCATCTCCACTAACTTTACTTTCTCTGACAGCTAAATGTCGTCGTTCTTCACAAAGTGTCACCCTCCTCTGGGAACTCTCATTCATTCCCATAACTATCAATTTCAAGTGAATACTTTGTGCAGTTCCATTGTCAATCCTGTTCTCTCATCTGATTTTCAAACTAGCATTTCCAGATATTTGCAATAATGAATCTTCAATCTATAGTGTAACATTATAGAACCGGTCCAATCTGAGTTTATGATCCAGTTCCCAGGCTTCTCCTTTCTCAGCTTCCAATCTCTCTTCATTAGCACCATCACCATCTGACACCCTTCCTACCCCATCCCCATCGCCCAAACTCAGAGCTGAGGGATGTCTTTGATTTCTTCCTCATTTTCACTCTTTATATATAATAAAGTTCTCCACATCCATTAAGTCCTGTCCACCCCAAAATATCTCTAAAATATACTCCTTTTTTCTAGTCTTTAATTTAGATCTAGTTTCTTATTTACTCTTGCTATCTCACTTATTTTCTAAACTATTTACTATAGTTTCTTAGTTCCCTACTCAAACACCTCCAGATCCCCTAATGCTTACGGATTAATGTCCAGATGCCATGGGCATTTGAGACCCTGCATAGTGTGTGGTCCAAACCTTTCTCTATGTTCTTAATCTGATTACACTCTGATTTAACCATGATCTATCAAGGTTATTCTGTTCTTGCTCTGAACACAACTAAAATATATCTGTGTTCATCCTGTACAGGCGTTGCTGCCCCTACCTGAAATATTCTTTCCTTTTTCTCTTGCTGTATAATTTCTACCTATTCTCTAAGATGCAACTCAAATCCCTCCCGTTCCATGAGATTTTCCTGTGATACTCTGGCCTTCATTCAGTTCGCTCCTATTCTGTAATATTATTGAGTAATTATTTTGTGCTAGGCACTGGGGCATTTTACTGTTATTTAGTCCTTCCTGGTTATCTCATATCACTGTTTTTCTCTTTTAAAATTATTTTTATTGGAATGTAATTCACACACCATACAGCCCACACCTTTAAAGTGATTTTTAAATGTATTTACAAAGTTGTGCAACCATCACCACCATATAATTCAAGAATACTTTCGTCATCCCCAAAGGAAACCTGAATTAATTAACGGTCACTCTCCATTCTCCTTCCCACCCCCACCAGTCACTAGCAACCATTAATCTACTTTCTATTGCTATGGGCATTTTATATAAGTGGAATCATATAATATATTGCTTTCTGTATCCAACTTCTTGTACTTACCATGATGCTTTCAAGGTTCATCCATGTTGCAGCATGAACCAGTTCATCATTCCTTTTGATGGCAGAATAATCTTTCATTATATGGATATACCAACCTTTCTCTATTCATTAGCTGATAGACTTTTGAGTTGTTTCTACTTTTTGTGTATTATGACTAATGCTTCTATGAACATTTGTATAAAAGTTTCTGTGTGATCATATGTTTTCAGTTCTCTTGGGCATATACCTCGTAGTGGACTTGTGGGTCTTATAGCAACTTTGTTTACTTTTTGAGGAAGTGCCAAACAATTTTTCAAAGCAACCACCCATCTTACATTACCACTAGCAATGTGTGAGGGTCCCAATTTCTCCAAATCCTCACCAACATTCATTACTTTCTTTTTCGTTGTAGCCATCCCAGTGAGGGTGAAGTGATGTCTCACTGTCGTTTGGATTTGCATTTCCCTAGTGACTAATGACGCTGAGCATCTTTTCATGTATTATTGATAACCATTTGTATATTTTCCTTGGAGAAATGCATATTCAGATTTTTTTTACCAGTTTCATAATTGGCTTATTTGTCTTTATTGTTGAGTTGTACACTTTCTTTATACATCTGAATACTAGACCCTTATCAGATATATAATTTGCAAATATTTTTTCTCCACAGTGGTGGGTTGTGCTTTCACTTTCTTTATAGTGACCTTTGAAGCACAAAAGTTTTTAATATCTAATTTATTATTTTCTTTGTTTGCCTATGTTTCGGTGTCATATCTAAAACACCATTGCCTAATCTGAGGTCTCAAAGTTTACACCTATGTTTTCTTCTAAGAGTGTCATAGTTTTAGCTCTTACGTTTGGGCTTCTGACAGATTTTGACAAGGCTTGAAGTATGAAGCTACATTATGAATACTGAGAAGAGGAAATACTTATCTTGATCATGGTTTGTACAAGTAATTTGCAAAAAACAAAAAACAAAAATTTGGAAATACCCTAAGTACCCAATTAAAGAGGAATGGTGAATTCTATAGTGATTCAATGAAGTGCTAAGTTGCAACTAAAAATAATACTTATGAAAATTATATATTTATAAAGTAAAATATTTATGAAAAAATCTTAAGTATAAGAATCAGGTTGTATTCTACAGTGATTACAGCTGGGTAAAACGATATATTACTATGAACAGGAGTCATCAACCATCTTGGTTGGCCTCAGACTATCTGGGTCTTAGCACTGAAAGTCCTGCATCTCAGGAAATCTCTCAGTCACTTTATGCCCTGGACAAACTGGGGTAGTGAGTCTCCCTACTATTAACAAATTGCCAAAGGGATAATTGGGGGAAAGGGCATAGCAAGGATTTTCATTCTTTTTTTAAACAGTAGACATTAACAGCATCTCAGATTTTAAGGAATTACTTTAGGTCAGTAAAAACAAATTATTTGAGATCATAAAAATGAATAAAATAAGACAAAATTCTTAAGGAAACCATGGGTTTGGAGAGGGATCCTCATATGTATTTCAAAAGTAGAGAAAATAAGATAGAAATAAGATCTTGTCTTTTTTGAAGATTTTCTCATTAGTTTTTTCCCTTGAGTCCACCATGGCAATGCTTTCTCCCCTTTCCTCTAGCTCAAGTCAGGAGTGCCTGCCATATATTTCAGTCATGTTCCAGAGTGCTGAGAGTGAGGAATGCATTATTAATGACCTAGTCCAGGAAAATTTTCCTTGGGAATATGTGTGTGTGTAAAAATGTACTGACATAAATAGTCAATGTCCTGACACCTCACAGTTCACACCCAGGTTGGAGTCTTATGAATATGAACTTAAAGCTCTAGGAGCCTTGCATGGTGTAATGTTACAGGAGAAAGAAGACCAGGGAAACACCATGTTGGAATCATCCACTGCAGACACAAACACAAATATCCTTTTATTTATTCAAAGTTAATTTTGAGGACTTTACATAGACAAAGAAATACCCTACCTCCTTTTTTCTAATCAGGAAATATCTTCCATTGGCGGCCCCTTACAAAGTGGAAATATCACAGGGAGTGAAAGTTACATTGTCTATTTACCTGCCAGAATCTGGAAGCACTCAACATATAGCAAACGCTCAAAGGTAGTTGATAGATTATAGAGACATCTTCCTAGGTTAACATTCTTTCTACATTGGGTACTAGTATCTCTGAATATGAACAAGAATCAAGAAGTAGGGTAGCTATTGCCTGAGATTCAGCATTGTAACTAATCATGTTATTTTCCTGCATGATCTTCTTTCTTAAGATGTCTATAGCACTTAGTGTCTGCATCATATAATCTGCAGCATGACAGCTAATTACATATCAATGATGTCAGTAGTTTTCTAAGGTGGTGAATGTCTAAGTCTTTTTATTCCCAAGGGGTAAAACCTGATTTCTGATTCTTTTGTGTCTTGCTCAACATCTGTGTCATGCTGGTCAGAGGGTAGGTGCTTGATAAAACCTGTTGACTTAGCTCTAGTAGTTTATGCAGGCATTGGATAGGCAATTTGGGTATTTCAGACATTACAGGATTTGAGTAGTAAGATCTGGGTATGAAACAAGACTCTCAAAATTACTAGCTGTAACCATTGACAAATTACCTTTACTTATTTACAAGTTACTTAGCTTTTTTGAAACATTTGTAAAATAGGGATTTTTTTTTCTTGATGATGGAAGATCAAATGCAATTATTTAATAAACTACTCTGTGACCTGGAAAATATTGTACAAATATAAGTGTTGATTATCCTTTGGGATTTGGATACTCATAGCCTTTTCCTTTCATGCTTTCTTCTCTTTCCTAAAGGTAGGTTGACAATGTAACCAAGAACCTAGAGCTGGAGTTAGGGAAACAAGACAGATAGCATAAACTGTGCTATTTGTATAAAGAAAGGATTGGGTGTTGTCCACTTAGGGCTTCCCTGAGGGTGTGGAGGCTCTAAGAATGTGCCACAGTGTCATTCCCATAAGAAGACAGATAGACTAGGTTCCTTTTTGCATCTCATTATAATTATTTTTTACTGTCCTTAAAACAATGGTGCCAATGGGACTCCATCAAAAATATAGATGTGGAAAGAATTAGAGATAGTTTAGGGAGGGCATGGAGCAGTCATTTATCTTTTGCATCAGGGTGCAGTTCCCTGTTGAGAAGGGAAGAAATGAAAAGAAACTGCTGCTGCTACTACTACAGCTTATCCAAGGCAAAGAAAATCACATTCTACCTTTTAATTTTAATGTAAGAAAGCTGCTCCAAACAAGAAACATTAGGACACAGCCTGCCACAATGGCTGTATTCTCTGAATGAGAGAGCGGTGGGGGCTGTGGTTGCTCCGTGCGAAGACCAGAGTGAGATGTGGATACACACAGAGAACCTCAAGAAATGGGGTTAGCTATGCTTCCTGGAAGCTATGAACACTAATGCTTAGAAAAGGGAGACAGAAAAGAACAGAAAAAAGTAGTTTAAGGGGTACTATCATTTTCTATTGGTGAGGATTCCTGATCTTGGGGAGGCTCTGGAAAGTTTATTTCTGTGTCTTCTCCTTCTTCTTCTTGGACTGGAATAATTTCAGTGTCTTCTTCTTCATTCTTTGGTTGGGAAGATATTTCAGTCAGCTCCACCACTTCTTCTTTTACTTCAATCACATTTTCTTTTTTTTCTTCAGCCGACAGGAGAACAACATCCTAGAACACAAAGTTAAACAAACTTTTCTTGACTTTTATTGTTGGCACAGTTCTCAAGAGTCCCTAGGATGTTTCTCAATTACCTCCTCATTTTCATGCTACTTAGGTTGTTTTATGTGCCTCCAAGGGCCAGGACTGATTTCCCAGGGGCTCAAATCCTTCTCCAATCACTGATCAAGGCTCATACTCAAGGCCAAGACTGACTTGCCCCTTTGCCTGGAATGATAGTGCAGTATTTGACAAAGAACACTGCAGTAAAGGAGGACTTTAGATTTTAGTTTTGCTTTGCTTTTATGGGAGAGAACCTTGAGAAAGTCATTTTCTCTCTCTAATCCTATTTTTCTCATCTGCAAAATGAAAGAATTGATGATGATTTCTAAATTCTGTTCTAAATCTGACATTCTATGGTTCTGAAGCTGTTGTTAATAGATCTATCACCAGGATATTCCTATCTCCCAATTGTGGAGCCTCTTTAAACCTAATGCTTATGTAGAGGGATTGGATGAAAAGGTGGTGGTGGAGGGTGGAAGAAGGGAATACTGAGAAATGCAGTGGAAGAACTAGTGCCTTTAACCAGCCTACACACTTCAGCCATCTTGCTTATATACATTAAGTGTGGAATCAAGTTGGGTGCCTGAGTCAAGCAGAGCTCAAGGTTAGAAAGAGGGTGCCCATATTATAGAACTATATCCCCTGTCTAACCAACCAATTTCAAATTTCAGGACATTTCCCCTCATTATTAGTATTTTCTACTTTCCAGAAATATGCCAAGGCTGTTTTTTCATGAAGCTCCCAAAGTCACACCAGATCACATTCTTTATAAATGATTCTTTGTAAGACATGGTTTTCCTAGAGGGAGGTTGGGGACACAGTGGCCACCACTTACAGCTTTGGGTCTGGAGCACAGTTTTTTCCATTCATTCTCAACAGTGCCAGCTGTCACGAGCTTCTGGAGAAAGGAGAAGATCAGCATCACTGCAAAAATGCTCTGCAAAACAAAAGAAAAATGGTGAAAATGTAGTCAGGAAACATATAAGAATATGATAGGTGCTCAGTAAATGACTGTTGACTAAAATTAAATGATTAAAAGATAAAATCTTCAGGTGAGTAATGACTAACTGAAAGAACAACTAGTATCTTTCTAAGCTTAACCCTTAGCACAACTCCTGACACACAATATATAGATAATGCATGTTGCTGATAGAAACAAGACAGTAATAATTAGTTGAAGAATCAATTTTATGTAGGAAAGGATAATTACTGAGTCCCAAATTAACTTATATCCTCCTTTATTTAGGTGACATCATACCAAGGAAACGTCTTTGTACTTGGGAGATGCATTTTTTCCCCCTTCAAACTCTGTTCTAAAACCCCCTTGAGGCAAAAGAGATTCATAACAACTCTGGTAGTAGTTTTTCAAAATTCATCTTAATAATAATAAATATTAATACCATTACTAATAATATTAATATTAATGTTAACACAAACACTTACATTGCACTTTTTATGTACCAGACACTGTTCTAAATGCTTTGCATAGATTAACTCACCCCTCAAAACACACCTACAAGATAAGTACTGTTACCTTCCCCATTCGACAATTGAAATTGAGGCAGAGTGTGGTTAAAATTCTTGCCCAAAGCCTTATAGGCAATGAGTGGCAGGTGCAGACAGTCTGGATCTAGAGTTGATGCTCATAATAAAAATGCCACACTTCCTCTATGAAAAGAAATCAGATTTCACACTTACCAAGAACACAGATCGAATGCTGGAACAATATTGGTTAGAGGGAGAGTTTTTCTCAGAGGAGTTAGCTGATTCACAGTTGTTTATGTCAAAATCTGGCATGTGAACTTTAATAAGGTCCAGCCTCTCCATTTTAAAAAATTGAGAAATTGTAATATTAAATATGTCCATGAACAAAAGAATTATTCCAGAAATGGCAGCAAAGAGGCTCAATGAGTTCATTATCATTTTCCCTTTGACCTGTAATGGAGACATAAAGAGTTATTCATTGGGTTTGATTTCATTTGGAGACTACCAGCTAGGAAGGAATTCTAGATCTCATTTCTCTGACTCACAAAGGTACTGCACCTAAATCATCCTATTTCATGACTTCTCTCAGTCATTTTTAGTCTCTTTGTCGCTATAAAACAAAAACCTTCATCTCTCATTCCTCTTCCTTTCTTAGTCTTTCCCATCGCATTTTATGCCATCACCATCCAATCAGTTTATCAGAAAAAAATGTAGACGTAATCCTTAATTCTCATAAATTGTATCCTTGCACTTTCTTTCACTGCCACTGCCACCATCTTAGTAGGCATTCAATAAATAGTTGTTGGGTAAATGAAGATAAATAGTATTCCGCTCATATCTGTCCGCATAAGAGGTAGAGGGAGGAGGGAGAAGGAAGTCCTTCCATCTCAACGAAGCAGGATGGTATTGTGGGTATAGGTGGAGATAAAAGCAGACAGAACTCTCTAGGTCTGGACCATCAAGTGGAGACAAACAGCAGCGAGAATAACAACACCTACTGTCTATTGATGTAGATTTCAATGAGCCATCTTTCAAAATAAAAATAGGGCTGATGTCTCTGTAGCATAGGTAAAAGGACATCAGGGAGTGGGCGAGTTCTACCTTGCAAGAGCGATAAAAGGTCAAAATAGGAAAATATACGTAGCAAGTACCATAATGATATGAGATGACTGATGATTACTTTAAGACACACGTATTTCATCCCTGACTATGTTACCTACAGTAGCGCTGGCTGTATTTGGTGAATAAAACAACTTGACCTGCATAATTTTTTTTCCCCCTAGAGAGGAGCTATCTCAATCCCCTCAGCCACTCACTGACTTTGGAAGTCAGATTCAAGTTAGTAAGAGTGTTAAAAAGTTGAGGGAGGAAACTTGCTGGTAAGCTCTTGACACACACAAAATCGGCAGCTCTTCCTGGGTGTAAATGAGTCCCTAGGGATTATATGAATAGGATCACTCTGTATCTTTATAGCTTCTGAAGCACTTTCCTATCTATTACTCCATTTCATCCTGATGACAATTTCATATGGTTGCGGGGACTGTTATCTCCATTTTATAGGTGAAAACTCAGTGGTACATGGAGGTAAACTGACTTGCTCGAAGTTACAGCTCAAGGTTAACTAGGACTTAATTCAATCACAGCACCAATGAGACAGTTGTCCTAAATGGTGGCCTGAGAGAAATAACACAGCTTTCAAAGAGATCTGTAGGTCTCACACAGCATTTATCAGTCGTAAGTTCAAAACCATGCTTTTCATTGATCTGCCTTTAATTCTGTTTCCATGGACACATTTCAAGTAGATCTCCTTTCCAAGTTTTTCATACATAAAATCACAACAGCATTGGAGAGGGTCTTTTGCTTTTTAGGGTTGAAAGGACTCAATGCTACTATGATTCCAGAAGTCGTTAAGGGTTCTAGTTTTCAACTGAGAAATTAGATATTTCTCTCATGTGTGTGGGAAAGAAGAACATACGATTACTTGCCAAACTCTTCCTGGAGTTCATCTTCGCTGCTGCCAGGAGTGATCCAGAAATGATATACTGTGAAAACAGAGGTGGTGTGCGGGGGCAGGGCATGGGAGAGACGAGAGAAGGGGCAGAGAGGGAGATTACTTTTTAATATTGAGAACTGGTTGTAAAAACTATCCACACTGTCAACTACTTTCACTAAACTGTCTGACCGTTTTTATCAGATTCATTTATTTTTCAGCAGTCATATTTCTCCTTTATTTGGGTTCAACTACGTTCAATCCATGCCTTTTATTTAACCAACTGGGGAGCTGTGACTAGGAATATAATGAGGCCAAAGAGGCAGAATTCACATTTCTATGTCAATTAATAGTCACACTGTGAACTTAAAAGTTTTACTTTTATCCTTTCTTTCTCTTTCTTTCTTCCTTTCTTCCTTCCTTCCTTCCTTCCTTTCTTTCTTTCTTTTTAATTTGTGGACTTGCTCTTTGGAGTTCATAATGATTTAAATGACTTAGATACCAATGAAAAATGAATCAATGTAGGAAATACTTGGCCTGAGAGTCATAGGCATGCCATTAAAATGTTGGCTGCTACAGGAAGTGATGATTATTTCTCATTTTCCTATTCTACTCTTCAAGCTGTAAAATGGAGAAAAGTCTTGTTCTAATCCATCTCCCCTCATTTGGAAAATTTCAATCCTGGACTCATTCTTTATAGTAACAACTAATGGTGATATAAACACCACTGCCCCGTACTACACCTAGACAGGGTTACAAGCTTGGGAAACGTGCACACAAAACAGCTATAAAGAATGCTGCTCTCCTGATAAGCAAAAGGAGATCTATTTGCAATGGGACTAATTCCACCATGTGCAATTAGCAATTAAACAGAATAATAGGGAAGGAGGACCAGTTGGGAGGAAGTGGGACGCTCCTGCCCATTTTGCTATACGATGCAAATGTCTAGTGCTCCTCCCCTCTCCATCCAAATTGACTTTGGAGAGGACCTGCTTCCTTTCCTGTGTAGATTCCCGTAGGGCATCTTTCTGACGTCACATGAAGCATGACCACCAACTCTCAACGATTGCATTCATGCTCAATTTAGTCAACTCTTTTTCCACCAAATTACTTGAACCTGATAACTTATTTCCTACCCATATACTTTCCTCAACACTGAAACAATCTGGTATGTTCCTGTGGAGCTTTTGAACTTGTGTGTCTGCATCACTCCCCGAATGGTTGTTGAGTGTTTACTCACCATAATGCCTCCCCAGAGAGGGTACCACACAGTTATACAAAGGGGTGTATAGATGTTGCCGTAGATCATCAGGAGGCCGCCTAGGGCGAAGTGGAAGAGCCCATTCATAATCTGGACAGCCTGGGGAGAGAATAGGGCACTGATGGGTAAATGGAAAGCATCATCGAGTCAGACAGCAAAGGTTAGGCTGAAAGCCTTGGCTGCTGACTAGGGCCTGTGTAAAATGCTCAAAGGAAGTGGTGAAGGTGCTAAGACGTTTTTCTTGTTCAGATCCATTTCCCCCATCACCTGGGGCATTTCCAAGGCAGATATGCCTAGGATGCTTATGACAAACTGGGATGGGAGACCCCTAAATATGCAAGCTTCAAAATCAACAGGGGGCATAAGATCATCATGATAACATCTCTGTACACCCCTGATTTGACCCTCTGTGTCAGACATAAAGAGCAACTCAGGTTGGGTCAAATACCTTCAAGTTGCATTGAGTCCTGTACTTGGCCTACAGCCCCTGCTTCTGCAGGCCAGAGCACCCCCAGGGTATGGAATGGAGGGCAACTGAACTCACCCCCAAAGCCTTGGATTCTCTCATGAAGAAGCTTTGTGTGGGGCCCACCACGGAAGGCATTGTCCTGGGAATTATTTTTTTAACAGGTTGCCTGGCAATAGGGCCTTTCATAGAATCTGCTGGGAAATCTCCACTCATTGAATTTCTGGGTGTTGTCATTTCACCTTCAAAACTTCTAAAAATAAAACAAATAATCAAATGAGAAGAGAGAGAACAGGATTTCAGTAGTCTTTATCTCGTGTCGTGCACCTGAATGCTTTTCTCTGTAAGCTCTCCATGGGTGTCACTGAGGGTAGACATGGCCTCTTCCTCATGATTTTGGATCTGAGGCAAGGCCTGCTGCCATCTTCTAAGACAAGATCTGGAGGGGGCATCTCAAGTGAGGACATATGGGCCCAAGGATTGCTGCCAGTATTCTTGACAACCATGTTTGGGGCGTACTTTACCTTGTAGAGAACACCATGCTTATATATCTGCATGTCCTATTTGCCTCTCATCCCTGAGTGCTTTTCTTAATGCTTTCATATTGGAAAACTTGTCTTGTATTGACTTGTCCTTGTCCGTTTGCTTATCTGGTTTTGTGCATTGTGATGGACCAGAGGCATCATGACAGAGCATTATGAGGATGGTCCTTGGAATCAGGAGGGGCTGATTCTAATCTGCCCTCCACTGCTAACTCTGTGACCTTGAGTAAATCACTTCAAGGAGGCTCTCTAAGGTTGTATGGAAGACTGTGGCCCCCTGAGTCAGATTGCCTAGGTTTAAATCAGAATTCTTCTATTTGCTGTGAAACCCCGGGCAAGTTTTTAAAATTCTCTGGGCTTCAAATTCTTCAGCTGTAATATGGGAATAATAATAATTCTTGTCTCATAGTGTTGCTATAAGACTTAAATAGACTGATGGTCTGTGCATGGCTGATGCCTTTTTATTCAAATGTATCTCAAATGTCAGATCCTCAGAGAAGCTTTCTCCGAACCCTTAAGCCACAATGCACCCTCCTAGTTACTTTCTCTCACAACACCCCCTTGTTTTTGCTTCATGGCATTTGTCACTGTGGGTAATTACCTTGATTATTTGCTTGCTTGCTTATTGTCTGTCTCTCCCCATTAGAATATAAATTCCATCAAAGCAGAGACCTTGTTCTCTCTCATAATATAAAATTTTGCCTGGATTTAATAGTTTGTTAGTAAATCTGATGGAAGAAATAATAGTATGTAAAGCACCCATGTCTGAATAACCCTTAGCTACTTTTGTTGCTATTCTTCTTCTTAGTATTATTATCTTTATAAGCATTATTTCTATTGTTTCTATCTGAAAAATGAGAACAGTCCCCCTTTTACACATGTTGTGAGAAATAAGTTAACATATGAAAGTGCCTAGTACATAGAGAGAAAGTAATAAATGCTGTTTGTTCTTAGAATCCATGGTTTACTCATTTCTGAAGTTGGATGGTCATTATTACCAAGGTCCTTTGCAGCTCTAACATTTTAAGACTGCTCAACCTTCTTCACCTCGGGTTTCCTTTTGGTATTTGTTTATGTCAGTTACTTACATGAATTATATTGGGTCTTTCCTGAGCCCTGGGAATCTCTCTTTACGGATACATCTTTGGTCTTATCTCTATTGACTACAAGTTGTGTAAGGGGCCTTGGAGACCAAGATTGTCTGTCTATCTCACTTATCTTACTGAGGTCACACAGAGCCTGACAACTGCAGGGTGCTGTGAGACAGTGATTGGGGGTCTCCCGGGTCTTACATTTGGATCCACTTTACGGTTACAAAGAGATTTCACATCTGGCATCTCACTTTGAGCCTCCCAGAGTAGACATAGGATAAATCGTTGGCCCTATTTTGTAGAGAAGGTAACAAGGGCACAGAAAAGTTAGGCAACTTGTTCAAAGGTGCCTGACTAGTAGGGATCTAAAATGAGGACTTGACCTATCCAATGAGGTATCTTTGGTACCAGGCTGCTTTGTCCCTTGTGGGAAATGGGAATTCAGCCTATTTCACTTATGAACTTTTCCCTCTTCAAATAGATGTGCTTTTTAGGGTGACTATAAATCAACAGAAAACAGAATACCTGTCTGGGCCATGGGCTGAAGGGAAGGGAGGAGGTTTTGACTGGGTGCTTCGCACTTGATTTTGCCTTCTCCAGAGGACTCATTTTAGTGAGGGTGATTTTTAAAGAGCAAAGGTCATCAAGCATCTGGACAGAAGGAGATGATTGGAGTACTGTTGTTTTAATTTATCCTTATTTTTCAGCTGCCTAAGGTTGTGTCTGTTTTATTGGTGAGAAAACCCGTTTACATAAGCACGTTCTTCTCAGCCTGTGTCTGCAGTGGCTAATGGCAGTAATGACCATGGGGAGAAAGTATTTGCTCTGTTAAAATGATGTCTCGCTATGGAAATTAGGTTTCTAGAAAGCCTTCAACAAATATTACTGTAAAATGGTAGTTTATAAACACAAGCATATCTGTTTCTATCTGCTACTTCATTGTTTATGCAAATAATCTATGATGTGTATCTATAGATAGATAGATAGATAGATAGATAGATAGATAGATAGATAGATAGATAGACATTTTTATCCCAGGGCACCGTAGGCTGACTGGGTAATGAAAAATTTCATTTTGTGGGAATATATGAAACCAGACCACATACTCCTAAGGATATTGTAGATTTCTATAGCTTTGCCCTATCAAAAAAAAAATTTGTTCACAGTTACTTAAACAGTGCCTTACACAGTTATGCCCAGAGACTAGTTGGTACATTAATTGGGGTTACGGGCCACATTGGTCAAAATATGGTAAAATAGGATTTTATTTTTGCTAAACACTTTAAAATCAGGACTCACTTTATCAGACACTGACTGCCCCATTTTATTACTGCAACTTCTGCAAATGTCTTTTGATTTGTAAAAGGCACCACTGATTCTGCATCCATCCACTGAAGAAGAGCTCACAGTCCTTATGGGTTTTGGTTTAAGTAATAACTTTTAGGTCCAATAATTCCATCATTTACTGAGTTCAAAGCTACCTAGCTTCTGTTACCTCAACTTCCTCCTTTGCCACTCAAAATAGTTTTGCATTTTTATCCTGTCCGGCCTCCTGTGTACTTATCTCTGAGGACGAATGTTCTTAACTTCCTTTCCCTCTGCCCTGTGCCCCTGAGCCCTTCTCCCTCCAGCAAGACATCAGTTCTTCTAAGAAACTGGTTCTTGCATCGCCAGTCTCTCTCTGTTTATGGTGTTCTGTAGCTCAAAGGGCTCGTCCCACTTCTGTTGCTTGCTACCTTTGGGGATCACTGTATTCAAAGCATTCTTTTGAGAACATGAGATAATTTGCAACTTACAAAGTACTTAGCACTCAAAGAATAATGGTTATTCCAGGAGTTTTTTTTTAATGACTAAAACGTGCTGGGGTGTTCCCTAATCCCAAATCCTCTTCCTTTAATCCAGCAGTGTCCCCAGCCACCGCCCAATCTCCCTGTCCTTTAACTGCAGCTTAAAAGCTGATGGTTCCACTCTCTTCCTCCACTTCCTCACCGCCCACTCACTCCTCAATGCTTCGCTGCTAGTTTCGGCCAGAGCCACTGTACTGAAACTACTCTCTTCAAGGACTGCTCTGCAAAGCCGATGGCCTTCCCTCAGGCATCACCCATCAGGCTGCTGTATTTCTGTTTCCCCTCTCACCCAGGCTTCAAAAGATGGAGCCATATTTCACTCCTGCTCCTTTATCTCCGAAGTTCAATCAATGGCCAAGTCATGCTGTTTTTCTCTGTAATGTATCTTATCTGGCAGGTGGATCTCTTTCCTACTTTCAGTGTCACCCCTTGAGTTAGATTCTCATTTCCTCTTCTGGTATAAGCATTAAAAATCTTGCATTTCTGCCTTCAATCTCTGTCTTTTCTAGTCCAGCCTCTAGGCTCCTTGATCAGACTCCCTAAGTCACTGCTTAACGCATCTTTTTCCGGAGCTTGAACTCTCTCTCTATTCCATCACAGTTCAGCTCTACCTAACTTCTTAAACTCGTATCCCACTGTTCCCCATGGGAGCCACTGCTCTGGACATGCCTCCTGCTTTCTTTTCTGAATCCTCTCCACTGTGCAATGCTCCTCTTCCCCTTCACTTTCACCAGGATGCGCCCCAGGAGACATTCACATCACCTGAGGCTGTTCCTACTCCACTGCTCCTTCAAAACCTTTTGCATTTCTCACTGATCACCAACTGTTTTCTTTCCACATCACATTGTAACTTCTCTAATGGCGTTTAAATCCTGCAAGGGAATGTCCTACTAGGATTACATAGAGAATCTGCTTTCTCCATATATGAGCTCAGGAAATGTTAAACTGAACACTAAAATGGAACTGCTTCCTCGGAGCAGGTTTACACAAAGTCCTCACTCAGGATGTCAGAGCAAAAGGTGATACAATCAATGAGATCAAGCCATTTTATGGGGAGCAGGGAAAAGGAGTCACATTATACATTGGTTTCAGGAGACAATTACGGCGCAGTTAAAATTCCTCTTTGTTCCCTTTCATTGGCGCTTCCTGTTGCCTCCAGTGGCCACGCTTATTCCAGGCTTCTGTGATGGATTGGAGGCAGGATTTCATGGCCATTTTGGTGTCTATCAACCCCCTCCGGAAATGTTAGCTCATGAGGCTTAACATCATCTAGGAGCATTTACATTTAGTGGGGTATCGTTGGAGACAAAAGCATTTAAAGCGAAAGGAATAGAGTTATTTTCATTATAGCCACAACTGATTATTTTCCTATTCGGTAACACGCAACCAGTTCTAAGAGCTTCGGGAGTTTAGCTCATTTAATTCTCATACTGCAGCAGGTATCACTATTTCCCTCATTCTCTAGAAGGGGAAACTGAGGAACACAGAGGTTTTGTAACTTGGCCTGAGGTTACGTGGCTTATAAGTTGTAGAGTGCAGGTCTGAGCCCCGTAGATTAGTAGCCATGCTCTAATGTACATGCTGCAACCTGCTATTTGTGCAGAATTACTCGCCGTTGATTGGCCAGGGTCATTCTTGAGAGAATGGTTGAGACAGTGGCTAGGCAGCAAGCTTTGATATTACCCCTCCTCAAATCATGCCTCTCAGAAAACCTGACCATGGAAGCCCTAGAATTAAAGCCGAGAATCTCCCGTCTCCAAAACCATCCTATGTCTTATCCATCGCTCCCTTTTAGTCATGAAAGCCAAACAAATTGATTCCTTACCTGAGTCTCCAAGGCTTTCAGGCTCACGGGCTGGTTCGGATGCTTGCTGCTGAGTTCACTTCAATGGCTAGTTTCTCCAATACACAGGGGTAAGTGTGATAGGCCAGGCCTGGGATGTCTGACAGATACCAGGTGACAGGAAATAAGTAGCTTCTGCTACCTTGAGCTTTGCCCCAATTACTTTGGTTTAATTCACTCACCAGAGCTGAAGGATATACAAAAAAGTTTCTGCCTTACCAGGAGGTTTCACTTCTTGAAAAAGACCCCAGGGGACTGCATGGCGTACTTTACGCTACCTTAATTAGAAGAACTTTGCAGCCCCCACCCTGCAAGCAGGTGTGGATCGTGGGTCCCCAAGGGCAAGAAGGGCTCTAGAAATTCTGCCAAGATGGGCTGTTAGGACTTTTACCTTTTTATTTCACTTTTAGGAGTGAGTAGGTGGGAAGGAGGCATCCATGTGGAGAGATTTAAGAAGCATTAAGCCGGTACACTGGCCGTGTTCTATGTATCCGTGTCCAAATATTGTCCTCACTTGCCCACACTTGGGGTTCTAGCGGGACCATGTATGTCTTGTGCTGGACTTAGTAGAAATGGCCTAAAAATGTACACTAGTGCTGTAGAACACGTCCCCAGACACTTGAGGCAAGAGTTTCATATTTGGGGATATGAATTGAAATCGTACTTTTACCTACAAACTCACATTTTCCCTCCCTCTGTGTAGTTCCCGTGTGTCACCTCTCTTTTCTTTCTGGGCTGGAGCTGTGTGGCTGTCAAGCCCACTGCTGGATCAGGTGAGGGAATGGGAGAAGCTGGTGGCCAGGAAAGTGTAAACATTCGGGAGATGACTCAAAGAAAGTTTTGCCCAAAGCTATTGTACCCCGTGCCCCCACTATGTACAGCTTTTTCAGTAGTTCCCCCCTCATCCGCAATTTTTCTTTCTGAGGTTTCAGTTACCCACGGTCAACCGCAGTCCGAAAATATTAAATGGAAAATTTCAGAAATAAACAATTCATAAGTTTAAATCAGTGGTTCTCAACCTGTGGGTCGAGACCCCTTTGGGGGTCAAACGACCCTTTCACAGGGGTCACCTAAGACCATCGGAAAACAAAAAGATATTTACATTATGATTCATAACAGTAGCAAAATTACAGTTATAGAGTAGCAACGAAAATAATTTTATGGTTGGGGGTCACCACAACATGAAGAACTGTATTAAGGGGTCACGGCATTAGGAAGGTTGAGAACCGCTGGTTTAAATCACGTGTCATTCTGAGTAGTGTAATGAAATCCTGTGCCGTCCTGCTCTGGTCCATCTGGGACGTGAATTACGAGTATCCCTTTGTCCAGTATCTCCATGCTGTATGTACTCACACACTCATCACTTAGTAGCCCCCTAGGCTATCAGATCAACCGTCCTGGTGTCTCAGTGCTTGTGTTCAAGTAACTTTTATTTTACTTAATGATGGCCCCAAATCGCACAAGTAGTTATGTTGGCAACTTGCCAAGGCCATAATGTGCTATGTATGTATAGGAAAAGAAAAAATAGTATATATAGCGTTCAGTATTACCCATGGTTTCAGGCATCCACTGGAGGGGAGGGGAGGGGGTCTTAGGATGTATCCCCTGTGGATAAGGGGATTGCTGTATGTTCATATGTTGGATTTTTCATTATTTTTTAAATTTCCTGTCTATTGCTTTATTTCATTCAAGACCCAAGGCTATAGTTAGGTAATTGTTTGTCTGCCTAATCTAAAGGGCTGAAATACGGTAGCTCTATTGCCGAATCTAAGGTTCATGTATATATTCTCTCTCTCTCTCTCTCTCTCTTTCCTCTCTTCTCTATTTCTCCCGCTGCCTCTTATCTCTTTAGGATAGTTTGGAATCAGAGGGCTAGAACCAATGGGTAGCAATGGCTCTGGAGAGGCCGATTTTGATGTAGCATAAAAAAAATGCCATCTCGCCACCATTGGAGCAGTTCATCAATGCAACAGGCTACCATTTGAATAGAGACACAAGCAAGCCATGCAGTCACCTGTCATAAAAGCTGTAGAGAGAAGAGAACTGGAAACATAAGATCCGCCATCCTCTTAATATTCTGGTTGTGGGTCTCTGAGTATCTGCTCGAGGCCTTGAATGGTTGGTGATGAGAGTGGTAATTAAATAGGGTCTGAGCTGTGGATGATTGTGAGGCCTGAGGTTTGGGTCCAGGATGATGGATGGTTAGAGGGTTGTGCCTTCACTTTAGTGAGCATAGGAGCGGGGTCAGAATTTGGCAAATGTCTGGCATCAGTGAAGCTTGGATTGGGATCACATACCTGATTTTCCATGTCCTTGTCTCTGTGTAGGCCCCCTTTTAAATTCCAAGTCTGTCTTCAGGTGTTTGCTATTCTGGTTCTTGTGGCCAGTGGAATCACTTAGGTGGCTCTGTGTGTGATTCCTCCTACGTAAACTTGAAATTCAATTTATATAAAGAAACTTGCATTTTGTCTTTGCTAGTTTGGATCAATATACCATTTAGCATTTGAGTGTGTTGAAATCTCCACTACGATTTGGATTTGTGAGTGGCACTTTCTTTGTTCCACCATTTTTTCTTTTTTGTTTTTTTGTCTATAATGTTTGAGGATGTTTTATTAGATCAATTGTACCTTTAAAGTATATCTTTCTGAATTAAGCCTTGCCCTTAGCTAGTGGCCTTCTTGCTTCCAAATGATTATTTCTTAAAGTCTATATAAAAGTTTATTCACTCAACTTTTATTTAGTTAATATTTGTCTGATAGACTTTTTTCTCCTGGATTTTATTTCCCCCACCTTCTAGCATTCCTTTTTTTAAAATCCCTGAAACCTTTTGCTTTTTATGAAAACTACATTTCATAATGTAATTATGATGGACTATCATCATTATTTGTGTCCTTTAGTCTGGATGTCCCTTGGAAGCAGGTCCTATTTTTCTGATTGCTGTGCTCTGTGCAGTGCCATGAGAGATGATGCTTCTGCTCTGGTTCTTTCTCCCACCTAGATCGTTATCACAACTCTCTCCAGCATCAGGAACTAACATCATGGCATGCTCCCAGCTGCTGAATAAGGTGTTGGCACCCAGAAGTATCTGGTGGTGGAGGGTTTGGCTTTCAGAGAATCGATAAGGAAGACACAGGGTCCTTCAAAGGTGAAACAAAAGATCTTCTTGTAAATAGAACTTGGTTACACGTTGGAAAGTCCCGATGTTGTACTTATAAATAATTAAAATGAAAGAAAATGTAAATTTGAGTACTTAAGAGCTTTGTCATTTATGAGGTTTTCTTTTTGTCCTGAGGGACTACCTTACATTTTGAACAGTTACAAAAGTAACCTTAGTTGAATACCTACTTCAATGCCAAGTTCTGTCCATACAACGCCTATAGTATTGATTCTGTTTTATAATTGTGGAAACTAAAGTTCAAGAAATGGGGGAAACTGGCCTAAAGTCACAAAGCAAGTGATAAAATGGGATGTTTAGAAAGCAAGAACACTTCAATTATAAATTTAGTAGAAAACCTACCATTTACTAAGTGATTTTTAAGTCTCAGACACTGGTAAAATCAGTTCATATGTTCCACATAAGGCTCATGTGAGGTAGGTATTATTGTGCATTTTAGTCTAGAAATTTAAAGCTCACAAAGGTTAAATCAATCAGCTTTAAATTGCAGAGCCGACATTTAAAACTAGGTCTGATTGTAAAGCCCTCACTGTGAGGTGACGGCTTCTCACCCTTAAATATATCTCAGACTACACACATCTGAACTTCACTCTGCCACCAAATACTTTACATCAGAACCTCACCTCACCGGATATAAATATTTAAAAAACAAATATTTAAAAATAAATGAAAATAAAACATTTTCATCAGAACCCCACTTCCCGTCTTCTGACCTCACACATGCACCTATAAGCCTGTCTCCTTCCAGAAATAGCAGAAATGAAAGTCTGATCATTTATTTCTTTTGAGCATGCAAGTTTCTTCTAGGCCCAAAGCAACAGAGGACAATGGGATTTGGAGTTAGGGATCTTGATTCAAACCCTGATTCTAAATCATACTCCTTTTGTGGTCTCAGAAAAGGTAACCACGTTGAGCTTCAGTTTTCACGTGTGTGACATAGGCCAGGTATACCTCTCAGGGGGCTGTTGTGACAATTGAGATGACAGAGGTAAGGCCTCTAACACGGAGCAGGTGTTTTGTTAGTGGAGGCAATATTATATAAAGCAGCTGTTCTCAAAGTGCGGTCTGGGAAGCTTCCGGAGTCCTTGACACCCTTTTAGGGAGTCTGTGACCTCCAAACAATTTTCATAATGATATTAAGACCTTATGGACCGCTTTCCATGAGTTGACAGTGGTGTTCTTCACAGGATACAGGGGAGGAGCTGTCACGGCAGACTGAACGCAAAGGCAGTTAAGGAACTCAGTTGTCTTCCATTTGGTTAGAGAGCAGCAGTGGTGCCTAAACTCGACTCTGCGTTGGAATCACCCAGAGACCTTCACAAAATATTGATGCCCGGCTCTCACCACATTCTGATTTAATTGGTGTGTGGTGGTAGGTGGTGCATGGAGGGCTCTAAACATTCCTTAGATGATGTGAATGGGCACTAAAGTTAACCAGAGATTTGTTTTTCAAAGGATATAAAGATTTTGTTCTGCCAGATGAGTAAGTTCTAGAGATCTGCTATATCCCAGAGTACTTAGAGTTAATAATATGGTATTGTGCACGGTAAAATATGTAAAGGAGATATAATAGCTCTCATATTAAGTGTTCTTACCAAAAACCAAAAACAAAACCTCACAAAAGAACACAAGGAAATTTTTGGCGGTGATGGGTATGTGTAGTACCTTGGTGATGGGGATGATATCAGGTGTACGCACACATTAAATCTGTGCAGTTTTTTGCATATCAGTGATCACTGAATAAAGCTAAAAAAATAAAAGAATGTTAAGTAACTTAAAAAAAGAGATTTGTAAAACTATATATCGGTGCTACTCTCTACACTAATTTTTCCTATTTGGGGAAATACGGGTATTTTAATAATAAAACTGTTATTTGTATAATGTGTAATGAGTATTCAGTAATTTTGAAGAGTGCAAAGGAGTTCCCAGATCAAAAGTTTAAGAGACATTGATATGTTGGTATAGGGATTAAGACCTTGGGCTCTGGAGTCAGACCGCCTACAAATT